TTTTTACAATGAGTTGAGACTTATATATACATAAATTTTAAAAGACACCTTTTCTCTGACATACAGATTCTGTTACCATGTAGTTTGTTTTAACATGATAGAAAGTATTGGATTAAGTCTTGGCTCAGTCCAAATGACAGTACTTAGCTTTCAATACCTAGCTTGAAGTTTCTAGTGTTCCCTGAAGGCAGCGGAGGTGAGGATAGGTCTGGTATGAGTGTATGTGGGTTAGACTGGCATTGCATGTCTATCTCAGCAGAGGTGTTCAGTCCGGGTTCAAGGCATTTCGATGAGTCTGGCATTGCTTCTGAGCTCTGGGAAGATTGACAGGCTTCCTCTGCTGTAAGGGCTTGTTTGGAGGCCTGGTAGAATGCATGCATATGCACTTCATAGACGAGTTATACAGTGTTAATTGCTGTTTTGCCTCATTACAGTTGTGATTGTGCATGTGATAGTCTGGAAACTGCACAGCTGAGGTGACCAGGTTACTGACGACTTTGTACTGATTCAATCTTAGGCGGTTGGAGACTGTAGCAAGGCATGAAGTTCCCATGATGTCCCATTGTAGAGTTTAAGTATGGTGACCTTGGCTGTATGCATGCAGCAGGGGAGAGGTGAGGCTGGCAGGATATATGTGTAGGTAGGTAAGAAAAGGAGGAGTTGAGGAAGGAGAAACCTATGTCTCCAGATTCAGAGACATGGAGGAGGGTGGCCCAGCAGCCGTGCCCGTCAGAGGTACTGCTCAGATCTTGCAAGGACAGTCAGGATTCAAGGCACAAGTGTGAGCATGATCAATACTGAAACTACAGGACTAGAGTCCCCAGGAGAGAGTGAGGCTGAAGAACTGTGGCCCTGGATGAACCCTGATCAAAAGCAATAATACCTATCCTTAGAATACTTTGGAGACTTGTTCTGCAAAGGTGTTGAACAAGCAAATGAATGAGAAAAAGACAGGACTCTGATTAGCCATAGACTTGGTCAGCTGACTCTCTGAGAAAGAGACATGACAGTGTCTGCTCTAGGGAAGGGTAGCCATCAGGAGATCTAGACCATCTTTTCTAAATAATAAAATGTCTATTTTATTGTTAATTATGTGTCTTGTCTGTGTGTGGCTATGTGCCAGTGAGTGTAGGTGCCCGTGGAGGCCAAAAAAGGGCATCACATCACCTGAAGCTGGACTTATAGACTGTTATAAATGATCACGCGTGGGTGCTGGGAACTGAGCCTGGGTCCTCTGCAAGAGCAATGTGTACTCTTGACCACTGAGCCATCACTCTGGCCCCCAGATACTGATCTTTATGAAAAGGAAATGCAGTCTTGGGGTTGATGAGATGGCTTACTCTTTACGGGTAGCCTGTGCCAAGGCCAGTATCCCTCGGCCTCATCATTCCACAGGAGCCCATGTGAGGATGGACATGGAGCTGCAGACAGACAAACAGGGATCCTTCATCATCTCAGGAGGCAGGTTCCCGGAAGGCTTGTGATGGAGGGTGCATTTCAGCAGCCTTTGAAAGAGGCCCTTGCTTACATTAAAGTCACACTGATGTTTGAGATAAAAGATGACTGGTGAAGAAACCTCAGACTTTCCCTCCAGTCTCTACCCTTTCCTCCCACAGTTACCAAGGTGGGAGTGACAGGGCTGTGCTGCCAGTGTGTGGATGTGAGCCTCTGCTGAAGACAGGGCTGCCACCCTTGTGCTTTCTGGATGCTCCTTGCTTCTTATGCCATGTTTCAGAGAAAAAAATTCTACAAGTTTCTGTAGCACGTCAGGCTGGTGCCCATCTTCAGACTTCTGCTATGGATAATTTTTTTCTTGACTTTGATGGAGATTTTCCACTTTTCTTTTCTTCAAATATGTGGTAAACTCCTATTCATTCTGCAAAGTGTCTTACAGATTTGGTACTCTTGTCGGTTATATAAAATGTAATGTTGTACTTTCAGGAATGCTTTCTTCAGTTCTGCCACAGTCCATAGTTCAGGCTTGTTCTGTTATATAATGATA